ATACGATATCGGTTAAACAGTATCGATACTCGTATCGTATCGTATGGAAAAGATAGATACAAAATATCTATATCGAGAGAAAATGTATCGATACTTCAAAATATTGTATCGTAACGAACATCCCTACTAGCCAGCCGCTCCGGGGGAGCAGCTGTGGCCGGCTGCGAACAGCGCCAGCTGGATCGGGAAGCGGCGTGCCCGAGAAAGAATTGATCCGGACTTGTCACGCAAAACGATGCTGGCTGTGACTCTGGAATGCGGGTCGATTGAATTTGCCATAATTAAGGGGATGTAAAAAAATACTATAGTCTCTTTCTAAATGGCGCGGACTAATAAAATGGGAAATCCGAAATATTATAAAATTGATATTTTGATGTCGTAAATTAGTACGCTACTTTTTAATATTATTATATTATATTAAGTTAAAAGTTACAATATATAATTGTTTTTTTATATTCGAATACTATTTTTTACTAGCTTTTCAGTCAGTGATAGGAAAAGGGTAAATAAAACACATAAGGGATTTTGTATGTAAAACCTAGATGTTTATTTATTATTTTTAATGTTTTTCTTCTAATGTGTAAAAATATGTAAAGATAATTAGTCATTCTTCAAAATTGCAGTCTTTCTTCTTATCCCGTCTCCAACGGTACAAATTAATACGGCAGGTTTTACAGCGAATGCGGTTGACAGCAGTGATTTGCAGTTTTGTCCTCCTCCCATCTACTGCGGTACAAATTTATATCCAGAATTTACTGTGAATGCCGTTCGTAGCATTGGTTTGCACTTCTTCTCCTATCTCCAGCTGTAAAAATTAATACAGTTGGCAGCAGTGATTTGCAGTTTTGTCCTCCCATCTGCAGCGGTACAAATTGATATCGCAGAATTTACTGTGAATGCAGTTAGTAGCATTGATTTGCAGTCTTTCTCCTTTTCCCGTCTCCAGCTGTAAAAATTAATACAGTTGGCAGCAGTGATTTGCAGTTTTGTCCTCCTCCCATCTGCAGCGGTACAAATTGATATCGCAGAATTTACTGTGAATGCAGTTAGTAGCATTGATTTGCAGTCTTTCTCCTTTTCCCGTCTCCAGCTGTATGAATTAATACAGTTGGCAGCAGTGATTTGCAGTTTTGTCCTCCTCCCATCTGCAGTGGTACAAATTTATACGCAGAATTTACTGTGAATGCAATTGGTAGCATTGATTTGCAGTCTTTCTCTTTCTCCCGTCTCCAGCTGTAACAATTAATACAGTTGGCAGCAGTGATTTGCAGTTTTGTCCTCCCATCTGCAGCGGTACAAATTTATATCGCAAAATTTACTGTGAATGCAGTTGGTAGCATTGATTTGCAGCCTTTCTCCTTCTCCCGTCTCCAGCTGTAAAAATGAATACGGCAGGTTTTACAGTGAATGCAGTTGACAGCAATGTCAAGCAATTCAGCAATCTTAAGGTGGAGTATAATATCGTTCCAAACCTTTAGTAAAAAACAACATAACTGACAACAAACCACAATTTTGGAGCATAAATTCTTTTACCCACCCTAAAGTCACTCCATTCCCTTTCACTTTAACTCAACTACCGGTATCCTCAACCTGTAACAACCATTTCCTTGTAGTTCTTCAACACCACCTTTTTGTCAGCATCCAAATACAACATCAATATCGCATTCAGCTGCGTGGGCACACAACAAGGCTTCGGTAACTTGGCCGGATTCACCGAATTCGTCAGCAGCTGCACAATGGCGTGATTCGTCACGGTCAGGTGATCGGCAAGGGGGAATTTGCACTCACCTGAACAGTAGTACGCGTTGTACCCTGGGGGAGCTACTATCCAGTCACTCTAACCTACGTCTCCGAAGTGGACGTACATCTTGTGTCTACTGCACTGTACGTTTTCGTTTTTTTTAAGTGTTTTCTTGAGGCTCTCTTCGTTCTTCGTTTCTTCAAGTTCTTTACGTTAGCTTCTGTATTCTTTTTGTCATCTGTGAATGTGTATAACACTGGCTGAATTCTTGCCCAATCGTCTTTTGGTTCATTTAAATCCCGCTTCAGTCTAATGGTTCTTTGCATGACTTGCCCCACTGAGGATAGTGACAATAACTCCGTGGTTTTCGGAGGGGTTATCTAACCATTTTTAACAGCTTCAGTTAAGTCAAGCTTAAGACTGCCGTTGCATCTGATACAGATCTGTTTAATCTCTATAAGTCTTTTTATTGAACCATGTTTGCCTTTTATATCTGGCTTGATTTTGTTTTCGACCAGTAACCTAACGTATGCAGAATGTTGTTTTGATACGGCGTTCTTTTTCGTGTTGTACTTGATGGCATTCGGTACAAATTTATACCGCAGAATTTACTGTTAATGTAGTTGGTAGCATTTATTTGCAGTTTTTCTCCTTCTCCCGTCTCCAGCTGTAAACATTAATACGGCAAGTTTTACAGTGAATGCAGTTGGCAGCAGTGATTTGCCGTTTTGTCCTTCCATCTTCAGCAGTACAAATTTATATCGCAGAATTTACTGTGAATGTAGTTGGTAGCATTGATTTGCAGCGTTTCTCCTTCTCCCGTCTCAAGCTGTAAACATTAATACGGCAGGTTTTACAGTGAATGCAGTTGGCAGCAGTGATTTGCAATATTGTCCTCCTACTATCTGCAGCGGTACAAATTTATATCGCAGAATGTACTGTGAATGCAGTTGGTAGCATTGATTTGCAGCCTTTCTCCTTTTCCCGTCTCCAGCTGTAAACATTAATACGGCACGTTTTACAGCGAATGCAGTTGGCAGGAGTGATTTGCCGTTTTGTCCTCCTCCCATCTTCATAGGTACAAATTTACATCTCAGAATTTACTGTAAATGCAGTTGGTAGCATTGATTTGCAGCCTTTCTCCTTCACCCGTCTCCAGCTGTAAACATTACTACGGCAGGTTTTACAGTGAATGCAGTTGGCAACAGTGATTTGCAGTATTGTCCTACTATCTGCCGCGGTACAAATTTATATCGCAGAATTTACTGTAAATGCAGTTGGTAGCATTGATTTGCAGCCTTTCTCCTTCGCCCGTCTCCAGCTGTAAACATTACTACGGCAGGTTTTACAGTGAATGCAGTTGGCAACAGTGATTTGCAGTATTGTCCTCTTACTATCTGCAGCGGTACAAATTTATATCACAGAATTTACTGTGAATGCAGTTGGTAGCATTGATTTGCAGCCTTTCTCCTTCTCCCGTCTCCAGCTGTAAACATTGATACGGCAAGTTTTACTGTGAATGCAGTTGGCAGCAATAACTTGCAGTTTGGTCCTCCTACCATCTTCATAGGAACAAATTTATATCGCAGAATTTACTGTAAATGCAGTTGGTAGCATTGATTTGCAGCCTTTCTCCTTCTCCCGTCTCTAGCTGTAAACATTACTACGGCAGGTTTTACAGTGAATGCAGTTGGCAGCAGTGATTTGCCGTTTTGTCCTCCTCCCATCTTCAGCGGTACAAATTTATATCGCAGAATTTACAGTGAATGCAGTTAGCAGCAATGATTTGCAGCCTTTCTCCTTCTCCCGTCTCTAGCTGTAAACATTACTATGGCAGGTTTTACAGTGAATGCAGTTGGCAGCAGTGATTTGCCGTTTTGTCCTCCTACTATCTGCAGCGGTACAAATTTATATCGCAGAATTTACAGTGAATGCAGTTGGCAGCAATGATTTGCAGTTTTGTTCTCCTCCCATCTTCATAGGTACAAATTTATATCGCAGAATTTACTGTTAATGTAGTTGGTAGCATTGATTTGCAGCCTTTCTGCTTCTCTCGTCTCCAGCTGTACAAATTAATATGGCAGGTTTTACAGTGAATGCAGTTGGCAGCAGTGATTTGCCGTTTTTGTTCTCCTCCCATCTTCAGCGGTACAAATTCAATATATGCAAATATATGGGCCTCTAATACTGTATCCATATGAAAATAAAATATTATCATGCCTACGGCCCATTCAGTACGGCCCATTCATATATGTGTCATATGAATGTCAATGGGAAAAGTGGTGCTGTTCCATCTTTTGAAGTTGTCAGGGGCTTCTGTCAAGGCATTGAACAATCCTGGTAAGGATTCTTGGAAGTCTTCTACATGGGATTTCTTGCTGAGGGGACTGCTGATTGCGTTGGGCTTCGGACACTTGTCTACACAAGAGCAACACTCCGTATACAGATATCCCAAACAATTCAAGCAGTCCTTGCAACAAGAGCAATTGTCAAAATTAAAATCGCAAATGCACGATTCGGTCAGCAAGCATTTGCTGACTACACTGCCACATACTGCCTCGTTGCATGGTATTGCTGACTGTATGAAATATACCGTCAAAAGCATATGATATAATTCATGGTGTATCTTTTTTCTTAACTACTTTGCCTCCTTAAGGAATAATATCTTTCATCAAATTCAAAGTATACAGGTTTTAGATGTTTAGTGGATGTTAATAGATGCTTAGTTTTGATGGATGGTTAATCACTTGATCTTTAAGAAATATCGTCTTTGTGTTGCTAGCACACATCGCTGTCGCCAGCTGGAACAGGACCATACCGAAGCTGGAGGTGTTGATTATTGTGCTAAACTGGTGCGATCAAAGGAAGTCGTCGGGCAGTTAGGGCAGCGTGCTCTTGGGCCAATTCAAGAGTTTCTTGATATCGTTTGTTCGAAATCCTGCTATCCAATGATCCTTCAGCCATATATCAGGCAAGTATATGGGCTTTTAATACTGTATCCATATGAAAATAAAATATTATCATGCCTACGGCCCATTCAATACGACCCATTCATATAAACCTCGTTAGTTTTTCCACCTTATCTTCCTCTGAAAATGTATTGCATATGCTTTATGCCTAGTTCCATCCAGATTTCATTTCGATTCAGAATCACACACAATTGTCTTCTTTCCTCGTAATTCATATCATAAATGTACATTTGTGGTTTACTCGATATAATTATATCATTTTTCTCAAACAAAACAACAACATTATATTTCTGCACTTCTAAGCATTCCCTACTTTTTTTTCTATAATCATAAGTTCGTCTACTGCATAATAAAATTATTTCAATAATGTGCTGCCAAATTAATACTCCTTAAAAATCCTGTTTTCATCAATATAAATCTTCATCAAATATCAAATATATATAATCAAATCAAATAAGTTTAAAGAATTGATTTAATTTCAGTTATTTGCAAGGACGGTTGCTTTACTCTTTTTCTATTTTTTTTTCTGAAAAAAAAATTCTTTTATTTCTTTACAGATTTGATTTCGGTAGGTGTTTTTAATATATATTGAAACAATCTCATCGTTCTGCTGGTCAACCATATTTTGTTGTTTCTTGTCTGATGTAGATTTCAGAAGTACCTAATCCGTATCGTCATCGTTTTCTCCAAAATCGGGCTCATCGTCTATCTCATTGTCTTTCAGGACAATCAGCTCGTCGCTTACTGGGCAGTTGCTGCACCTGCTCTCATTTATTCCGTAATTAATGCATTTATCGCCCACGCATTCGCAGCAACCATCGTGAAACCACTTGAAACTCTCTGCTTCCATCGATTGACAGCTGGACTTGCATTTGGTCCAGCTAATGCACTGAGCCCAAAACGCTACAGTACAATTCACCGTGTATATGATCGAGCTGGGAAGTACCGATTGCTCTGCATTTTTTTGTTGGATCATAAATTTGATTTCCTTCTTGTTGTTGTAGTGTGTGATATCAATGTCAATGGGAAAAGTGGTGCTGTTCCATCTTTTGAAGTTGTCAGGGGCTTCTGTCAAGGCATTGAACAATCCTGGTAAGGATTCTTGGAAGTCTTCTACATGGGATTTCTTGCTGAGGGGACTGCTGGTTGCGTTGGGCTTCGGACACATGTCTACACAAGAGCAACACTCCGTATACAGATATCCCAAACAATTCAAGCAGTCCTTGCAACAAGAGCAATTGTCAAAATTAAAATCGCAATTGCACGATTCGGTCAGCAAGCATTTGCTGACTACACTGCCACATACTGCCTCGTTGCATAGTATTACTGACTGTATGAAATATACCGTTAAAAGCAACAGGGGTATGATGGTGTGATAATTCATGGTGTATCTTTTTTCTTAACTACTTTGCCTCCTTAAGGAATGATATCTTTCAACAAATTCAAAGTATACGGGTTTTAGATGTTTAGTGGATGTTAATAGATGCTTAGTTTTGATGGATGGTTGATCACTTGATCTTTAAGAAATATCGTCTTTCTGTTGCTAGCACACATCGCTGTCGCCAGCTGGAACAGGACCATACCGATGCTGGAGGTGTTGATTATTGTGCTAAACTGGTGCGATCAAAGGAAGTCGTCGGGCAGTTAGGGCAACGTGCTCTTGGGCCAATTCAAGAGTTTCTTGCTATCATTTGTTCGAAATCCTGCTATCCAATGATCCTTCAGCCATATATCAGGCAAGTATATGGGCTTTTAATACTGTATCCATATGAAAATAAAATATTATCATGCCTACGGCCCATTCAGTACGACCCATTCATATAAACCTTGTTAGTTTTTGCACCTTATCTTCCTCTGAAAGTGTATTGCATATGCTTTATGCCTAGTTCCATCCAGATTTTATTTCGATCCAGAATCACACACAATTGTCTTCTTTCCTCGTAATTCATATCATAAATGTACATTTGTGGTTTACTCGATATAATTATATCATTTTTCTCAAACAAAACAACAGCATTATATTTCTGCACTTCTAAGCATTCCCTTTTTTTTTCTATAATCATAAGTTCGTCTACTGCATAATAAAATTATTTCAATAATGTGCTGCCAAATTAATACTCCTTAAAAATCCTGTCTTCATCAATATAAATCTTCATCAAATATAAAATATATATAATCAAATCAAATAAGATTAAACAATCGATTTAATTTCAGTTATTTGCAAGGACGGTTGCTTTATTCTTTTTCTATTTTTTTTTTCTGAAAAAAAAATTCTTTTATTTCTTTACAGATTTGATTTCGGTAGGTGTTTTTAATATATATTTGAAACAATCTCATCGTTCTGCTGGTCTAACATATTTTATTGTTTCTTGTCTGATGTAGATTTCGGAAGTACCTAATCCGTATCGTCATCGTTTTCTCCAAAATCGGGCTCATCGTCTATGTCATTGTCTTTCAGGACAATCAGCTCGTCGCTTACTGGGCAGTTGCTGCACCTGCTCTCATTTATTCCGTAATTAATGCATTTATCTCCCACGCATTCACAGCAACCATCGTGAAACCACCTGAAACTTTCTGCTCCCATCGATTGACAGCTGGACTTGCATTTGGTCCAGCTCATGCACTGAGCCCAAAACGCTACAGTACAATTCACCGTGTATATGTTCGAGCTGGGAAGTACCGATTGCTCTACATTTTTATGTTGGATCATAAATTTGATTTCCTTCTTGTTGTTGTAGTGTGTGATATCAATGTCAATGGGAAAAGTGGTGCTGTTCCATCTTTTGAAGTTGTCAGGGGCTTCTGTCAAGGCATTGAACAATCCTGGTAAGGATTTTTGGAAGTCTTCTACATGGGATTTATTGCTGAGGGGACTGCAGGTTGCGTTGGGCTTCGGACACATATCTACACAAGAGCAACACTCCGTATACAGATATCCCAAACAATTCAAGCAGTCCTTGCAACAAGAGCAATTGTCAAAATTAAAATCACAATTGCACGATTCGGTCAGCAAGCATTTGCTGACTACACTGCCACATAGTGCCTCGTTGCATGGTATTGCTGACTGTATGAAATATACCGTCAAAAGTAACAGGGGTATGATATAATTCATGGTGTATCTTTTTTCTTAACTATTTTGCCTCCTTAAGGAATAATATCTTTCAACAATTTCAAAGTATACAGGTTTTAGATGTTTAATGGATGTTAGTAGATGCTTAGTTTTGATGGATGGTTAATCACTTGATCTTTAAGAAATATCGTCTTTGTATTGCTAGCACACATCGCTGTCGCCAGCTGGAACAGGACCATACCGAAGCTGGAGGTGTTGATTATTGTGCTAAACTGGTGCGATCAAAGGAAGTCGTCGGGCAGTTAGGGCAACGTGCTCTTGGGCCAATTCAAGAGTTTCTTGCTATCATTTGTTCGAAATCCTGCTATCCAATGATCCTTCAGCCATATATCAGGCAAGTATATGGGCTTTTAATACTGTATCCATATGAAAATAAAATATTATCATGCCTACGGCCCATTCAGTACGGCCCATTCATATAAACCTCGTTAGTTTTTCCACCTTATCTTCCTCTGAAAGTGTATTGCATATGCTTTATGCCTAGTTCCATCCAGATTTCATGTCGATCCAGAATCACACTCAATTGTCTTCTTTCCTCGTAATTCATATCATAAATGTACATTTGTGGTTTACTCGATATAATTATATCATTTTTCTCAAACAAAACAACAGCATTATATTTCTGCACTTCTAAGCATTCCCTATTTTTTTTCTATAATCATAAGTTCGTCTACTGCATAATAAAATTATTTCAATAATGTGCTGCCAAATTAATACTCCTTAAAAATCCTGTCTTCATCAATATAAATCTTCATCAAATATTAAATATATAAAATCAAATCAAATAAGTTTAAACAATTGATTTAATTTCAGTTATTTGCAAGGACGGTTGCTTTATTCTTTTTCTATTTTTTTTTTCTGAAAAAAAAATTCTTTTATTTCCTTACAGATTTGATTTCGGTAGGTGTTTTTAATATATATTGAAACAATCTCATCGTTCTGCTGGTCTACCATATTTTGTTGTTTCTTGTCTGATGTAGATTTCGGAAGTACCTAATCCGTATCGTCATCGTTTTCTCCAAAATCGGGCTCATCCTCGTCTATGTCATTGTCTTTCAGGACAATCAGCTCGTCGCTTACTGGGCAGTTGCTGCACTTGCTCTCATTTATTCCGTAATTAATGCATTTATCGCCCACGCATTCGCAGCAACCATCGTGAAACCACCTGAAACTTTCTGCTCCCATCGATTGACAGCTGGACTTGCATTTGGTCCAGCTCATGCACTGAGCCCAAAACGCTACAGTACAATTCACCGTGTATATGATCGAGCTGGGAAGTACCGATTGCTCTGCATTTTTTTGTTGGATCATAAATTTGATTTCCTTCTTGTTGTTGTAGTGTGTGATATCAATGTCAATGGGAAAAGTGGTGCTGTTCCATCTTTTGAAGTTGTCAGGGGCTTCTGTCAAGGCATTGAACAATCCTGGTAAGGATTCTTGGAAGTCTTCTACATGGGATTTCTTGCTGAGGGGACTGCTGGTTGCGTTGGGCTTCGGATACATGTCTACACAAGAGCAACACTCCGTATACAGATATCCCGAACAATTCAAGCAGTCCTTGCAACAAGAGCAATTGTCAAAATTAAAATCGCAATTGCACGATTCGGTCAGCAAGCATTTGCTGACTACACTGCCACATACTGCCTCGTTGCATGGTATTGCTGACTGTATGAAATATATCGTCAAAAGCAACAGGGGTATGATATAATTCATGGTGTATCTTTTTTCTTAACTATTTTGCCTCCTTAAGGAATAATATCTTTCAACAAATTCAAAGTATACAGGTTTTAGATGTTTAGTGGATGTTAATAGATGCTTAGTTTTGATGGATGGTTGATCACTTGATCTTTAAGAAATATCGTCTTTCTGTTGCTGGCACACATCGCTGTCGCCAGCTGGAACAGGACCATACCGAAGCTGGAGGTGTTGGTTATTGTGCTAAACTGGTGCGATCAAAGGAAGTTGTCGCGCAGCGTGCTCTTGGGCCAATTCAAGAGTTTTTTGATATCATTTGTTCGAAATCCTGCTATCCAATGATCCTTCAGCCATATATCAGGCAAGTATATGGGCTTTTAATACTGTATCCATATAAAAATAAAATATTATCATGCCATAAGTACGGTCCATCCATATAAACCTCATTAGTTCTTCTACCGTATCTGAGAATGTATTGCATATGCTTTATGCCTAGTTCCATCCAGATTTCATTTCGATCCAGAATCACACACATTTGCCTTCTTTTCTCGTAGTTATCGTAAATGTACATGTGTTGTTTACTCGATATAAATAATATATTAACGCGTAAAATCAGATTATCATACTATCCACCAATAGCAATAGCGTGTGTGAAACTACAAGAAAAATTATTAATATTACTTTTAAAAAATACAGGTGATATCGTGGGCTTTATGACGAAAAGGTGTTTTCGGTCGATTTTCGCAACTTTTGAGGAGAGCAATTTAAACATTCTAATTATTTATTAATTCTAGTATTTAGCATGGGGCAAATTTTTAAATTAATATAAAATGAATAAGGTGTAATATTGATATACGGCCAATTTTTCATGCTAAAAAATGACCCATTAGGCATGTCATGAAGTTGATATGTCAAAATTGCCAAAAATCGAGATACGCCTTTTTGTTATAAAGCCGACGATATAATTACAATATCTCTTCCACATGTATATAAATATAATATTAACCACAAATTGAGTTCATTAATGATTTATCAGTACTATCTAACCTTTCTGTATAGAATCCAATTTTCTGGGTGCCTAACTAATAAATCTCTTGCTCTTTTCAGAATTTCAAATTAGATGTATTCTCTAACGTATCAATTAATGGGATCCTTGCACATGTCGGGTATAATTAAAATATTTATGATTTCTAATACATTTTTACCTAAAACATATATACAGAAAAGTCCACAGACTTCGAGACATAAGAAAATCAAGTCCATTTAGCTTGTGTCCAATTTTTTATAGTTTTCAAAAATGACAGTTTTGTATAGACTGACGTTTAATTTCACCTGACCTCTCGGTGAATGATTTCTTTTTAGGGGGGTACATAAAATCTAAAATTTACGGTTATGAAGAAATTCAAAACTTGGTGCAGTTAAGGCAGAAAATATTTAATGCCTTTGACACTGTCGCCCCTGATATGTTATCCAATGTGCGGAGAGGGGATTTTATGATCGTTTGGATTATTGTTTAATGCAAGAGGGAGGTAGTTTTGTACAATTTTTGTAATTTTTTAAATTTCATTCTCCTGTTTTTTACCGTTTACCCATTACCTACCTTGACGAACATGGGAAAACAAAGGTCCTTTTCAGGACCACAAATATTTTGATTGAGAAATTTGTTACTTTTATTTTTTTTTGGATTAAAAATAGTTGTTAATATAATACCAATTTAAAAGTGTTTTAGTAGTTTTAATACACACTATGATATAAAATTAATTATTATTATAATGTACATTATTAATACTATTATTTATTATTCATTCGAAATGGCTTAATGCCCAATTGCACCGATGATTTAAATTTTTCTTAAAGATAAGTAGAGCTTAGAATGTGCTGTATTTATATTTACTTTAAATATTCACCTTAAATGAGGGAATTTGACTGATACAATTTATGAATTTGAAGTGTTTTTAATTATACTAACAATTTTAGTTCAATTTTTAATAAAATTTATTTAATATTAATAGAAATCCAAGAGATTTGAAACCTCTTTTAGCGATTTATAACATTCTCAAATGAATTACAGGTGCCCTTATTTTCTATGAAAATCACACAGCTTTTTTTATAGTCGCTGCAGTTGCTATAGCTATAAAAAACTAATTTTTTAAGGTGTGAAAATTGCGACACACGCTAAATGGACTTGATTTTTACTTTGTCTCGAAGTCTGTGGACCTTTCTGTATGTAAGATCGGTTTGTACAAATTTCATCTGAAAAGTACTTAAATTAATGAGTGAAATTTGCTTGGCGCGAAAACGAGGCGTGACCACAGCTTAAGTAAAAAACAGCTCGGACAGTGTAGCGTGCCGCTTTGATCTTTTTACGCTCGGATTTGCGATTCGAAAGAGGGAGAACACTAGAGCGGCGAGCTCTCCCGCCACAATCAATAGCCGCGTAAGCGTCAGTCAGCCAGAGATGTATTAAAAAAAAATTACACGTGACGTAAAAAATTATTCGACTGGTGCTAGAACATAATTTAGATACACGTTTTTTAAATTGTTGACTTTAAATAAATACGCATTCTCAAAGAAAAACATTTAAAAAACAAATTAATTAATTTATTTCTAGAAATAACAGCAAAATGAAATAGGTACATTGATTACTTATAGTTATTTGCGAATGTTTCCAAATTAGGAGCTTTCGGTTTTTGTTTGCTACATTTAAGTTCTTGTTAATATTCTTTAAGGTATAATAAATTCTAACTTTTGCGTATAATTTTAACAAAAAATACATTATAGGAAAATTTTGACAAGGATGGTTGAATTTAATTGTCTGAAATAATTTAACAAATTTACATAATATATTTTCATTTAAGGAAAGTTCTTCAAAATTGTTCTGAAAAATTTTATAAAAAAAACTTTTTTAAAAAGAAGCTTTTATTTAAATACACTAAAAAGAATAAAATAAACTTTTTCTTTAAAACTTTTATTATGAACTTATAACGTCATTACACAATTTTAATATTATATAAAAGCTTGTCGCGAGATTTGAGTGTACAGTTGCACTCATAAAAATCTGGTACGACAACTTTATCTTGTAATTTCTGGTCTAGTGGTCTATCATAACACAAACTCTGAAAATGAGACAGGGTAGACACAGGTTTTAGTTAATTTACTTGTTTATCGATGTAGAGAAATCTCGCGACAAGCTTTTATATAATATTAAAATTGTGTAATGACGTTATAAGTTCATAATAAAAGTTTTAAAGAAAAAGAGTTTATTTTATTCTTTTTTCATGCTGACATAAATGTGAGAAAATGGTCGTGTTCATCAGGACAAGTTGATCAGTGAGCGATGTGCCATCGATTGGTTGTCCTGCTGAACGCGCTTTTTAGCATCCCTTAGACT